GTTTTGTTCTCTATTAAGCACATTGATGTTTGTGTCTGTGAAAGGTGCTATAGAAATAAAGTTTACTTACTTACTTATTGTAGTTCTAACATTAGTTCACACTTTAAAATTCAAGCTAAACTTAAGGTCAAATACATTCAAAAGTTGCACCTTGTCACTCACTATACTATACTACTATAGACTTGCTGCTTATCTGTTTTTTTTTTTTCTATTTTACTCTGAATTTGACTTAATTTTTACAAAAAAAAATCTCACGTTGTATTAAAGAAGACTTGATCTCTGATGAAGAACATAAACACATTGTAAAAACTTGCTTTTTAAAAGTGTTTTTCCCACCATCCAGCCATAGTCTGTATTAAACATTTACAGAATATGTTTGCATTTTTTAATTGGGCTTGTAAACTGTCAGAAGACTTGAAGGATTTGTTCATTTGAATCTGGAAAATTCTGACATTGTGAAAAAGGAAATGTGAAACTTTACAAAAACTAATTGTGAATTAGTGAAAAGTGACAAAGGCTCTTGGGATGATTTTTGTTTTCCAGTAGGAAAAAAATCCTGTAACTGAATAATATTAATGCAGAATATGCTTATTTTTTATTATTCTAAGTAAAATAAAGGTAWTAGTGTAAAAACAAATGATGTCTTGGGTGTTTTTGTTGAAGATAATATTGTGATGATTCCTTTTCYCTCTTCCTGTCAGACACGTGATGATTTCCTCGGGCAGGTGGACGTCCCCTTAAATCAAATTCCGGTAAGTTTAGTTACTTYTTGTTTTCTGATTTGTGTGATCCACAGTTTAGATATTTTAAGATTTTGTCTGAAATGTTTATTTGACATGTTATTTAGATCAGTCCTTAACAAGGACAAGTTGACTGGGTGTTGGTTCAGAAACACAAACACACAGATTAACCATGTGTTTTTATTTGTACAAAACATACAATTAAAAAAGCACAAACAGAATGAGCACCACTTAAGATACAAAATGGAAGAATATTAGGCTGGATTGTAATCACATTAGAGTTGGTCATAACTTTTTGCAGCTGATTAAACCATCCTCAAACTGACTTGAATTCATATCAATCTAATTTCTATCTATTCTTTTGAAAAGACAAATAAAGCGGTGTGTATTTTGTTCTCACTGTTTGAACTCTCAGCCTCAGTCTCACCTGTGTCTTCATGTAAACATAAACACGTGAACCCTTATTCTGCTGTCTGTTCCAAATCGTTGTCTGTAGTTTTGGAAACACCTCATCATGTTTATATTAGGTTTCTGCTTCAGTTTAATTATAAATACAACACCCTCAAATTAGTCTTTTAATATGCTTTACCACCATCATTTTATTTACAATGTTTTTTAATTAACTTATTTTGCCAAGCAGCAATAAAATCCTATGCGCAGTAAGATTAAATAGTTTTTTATGTTTTTTTTTTTTGTTTCTTTCAGACAGAAAATCCAAACTCAGAAAGACCATACACATTCAAGGATTTTCTGCTCCACCCACGAAGGTTTGCATTTCATTTTCTACTGTTTTGTTCCCCTATTAACATTCCATTTTTTCATTTATGGTATGTTTAATTATCATGTCTTTGAACATTTTTGTCAATATTTCCATTCACCATTAAAACTTTTGGTTTGTTTTTCTGTCCTGCACAGCCATAARTCCAGGGTTAAAGGTCATCTGCGTCTCAAAATGACCTATCTGCCAAAAAACTCAGGCTCAGAAGAAGAGGCGGCAGATCAGACTGAGGACTCGGATGTAAGCTGATTCTTCACGTCACACATCTCGCTGTGTTARATTAGCCTCTGCAGGGACTCTTCAAAGAATTTTTCAAAGGAKTTTTTCAGCCCAAGTGTTGTGTTGAAGGTGTCATGAATCAAAATATTTTATCCACTACTAGCACACGCCCATCCTGAGTGTTTGGCTCTCACTCAAAATACCAAGAACAACCCATTAGGATCTTAAAATGAGGGTAAACAGTGTTTAACCACGGTGACTTGARCGCTGTCCAAACCAAACTACAAGAAAAGTTCTATTAATAGAAGCTGACAACACCAGATAAAAACACAACATTAATAAGTGAAGGTTTTTACAGGAAGGAGTTTATTTTCTTAGTATAGAAAAAGCCAACATCATAGATTWATTGACAATAACATTGGTAGATACAGAAGTGGGAGTACTTCATGATTCAATTTAATTACAGTTCAAAGGACTGTGTTGCAATATCAGCATATGCTAATTATTTTTGAAAACGACATAGAAAAGCTAACATGTTTAGCATTRTTTATCGTGGGAAATTTACACACAAATCAACAGTTTTAAAGTCATTACCAAATGCTTACTTACATATAATGCAAAGATGAGAAGACATGCAGCTTTAATGCAACATGTTTCTACAGGATCTCTACTGGGACAAACAGCACCACAAAGCAGCTACTTCAACGACCCTTAAAGTGACAACACAGACCAACCTTAAGAAAATAAATATTTGATATTAGAAAATTGATTTATAATCTTTCCTGTTTGCAACACAAGCATCTAAAAATAGATTTTACCGCCCACCTATAGGATTTAAAATGAAGCACTGCACACAYTGACTCTATCACCCACTTATTTGTACATACACACCAACTCAGCACTGTGACTACATCTGTTGCTGGTATTGGCAGTGGATAAACTTTTACACTCAAGTTCACTTTGGTCATTCTGRAAACTGTTAAAATAGTCTAAAAAGGACACTTTATTGTCTCTTTTCATCTCGTTTTCGTCCATTCAACTGTGTGCAAATGTGTAATTGCAGGATATTGTCACCAAAYGGCATGTCCTACCTTTAAACTGCATTTTGTTGTCTCTGTGTTGGTCTGCAGCCTGGTTGGGAGCTTCTGGAGTCACAGGATATGTCAGGTCCCAGACAAAGTCAGCTACTGCCTCCTCTGCCCCAAGGCTGGGAGGAGCGGCAGGACAACCTGGGAAGAATCTACTACGTCAACCACGAAAGAAGAACCACACAGTGGCAGCGACCCACAGCACTGTAGGGACACCACTYTAAGTCTCCCATAAAGTCACGTTATTTATGTTTGATGCTTTTCTGATGACTGAGAAYGTGTGTTTTTGATAAAACAGGGACAGTGATGTGGAAGTTCAGAGAAGACAGAACAACAACATGGATGCGGAGCTTCCCTTCATTACACGCAGACAGATTTCAGACCATGATGAAAACACTGCACACGAGCCTTCAGAGGTAGCCTCTGGTTTCTAGAGGAAAACTAGACAAACAAAATTTAAATAATGACAAATGAAAGTGGCTTCTGAAATCTTTGTTAAAAAGTCATAATTAGATTTGTGTGTGTAAAAAAAAAATTGGGAGGAAAAAGTAGTCGATAATGGTTTTGGAATATAACCAGGCTTTTAAAAGCATCATCTAACCAGAAGTCAAMTTTGAACGTGCTAGCTCTTATCCTAAAGTGTCCTCTCTCTCTTGTTTTAGAGCTGGGAAATCATTACAGAAGATGAGTCCACCTTGTATCATAGAAATAACCACATATCCCCTTTCTCTCAAGAGCCACAGCTCTCAGCTCAAGAGCAGCGCCCCTCCCAGACCGTGAGTCATCCTCTGAGAAACTCTAGGCTTCCATTTACTGAAAGTTGCAAGAGTAAAAGTCATAAGCAGATTAGTGTGAACAATAAACTTCCATTCAGACACAGATTATGGAAAAATAAATGCACGTTAATGACCTGAGTACAATTYTGTGTCTTTTGTGTCCTCTGCTAGAGTCGTGTGAGTAATTCAAACCATTCCAGTCTYAGAGAAAGTGCTCAGACTGTAGCCGGAGAGGAAAGTCCCATTAATCCCGTGGTGAGAATTTCTCTTTCTGTTGAAATTGTTCTTAGTTTTACCAAACTTGTTTTGCACCACCTTGTGGTAATAAAAAATATAAACTAAAATCACTGCTTCAGGTACTGTATATTCATTTAGTTTTACAGCTCTTAAGTCATTCATTTCTCTAGCAGATTTTGTACAACTAGAAGTTTTGCTTGAGCTAAAAGTTCAAATAACCATATTCAATCTCTCAATAGTTGCGTCCAACCTCAGCTAACTTGCCTCCAGGCTGGGAGGAGAAGAGGGACAATAAAGGAAGACGCTACTTTATCAACCACAACACCCGAACTACCACGTGGGTTCGACCTGTTATTCAGGTACTCATCTATGTACCAATGTATAATGACCCTTGTCACAAAACTGGATCTTATGTGTTGTGCTATATAAGTAAAATGATACGTATCATAAATTTAAGTTTTTACCACTCATTGGCTTTGAGAGTCAAAATTATTCCCAAATAAATCTGCTCTTTATCATTTTTTTTTTAATTCAACATAGTCGTCTGAACCTTACTGATGTTTCTTTTGTTGTACAGAGATCTTCAGATGCAGCATCAGGGCCATCAGCAGCATCAGTGCCATCAGCAGCATCAGGACCATCAGCAGCATCACACAGTGGARCAGGCTCATCTCAAAGCCTGTCACCACCCCAGCCGACTGTTCGAGCTGATCAGGCTCCTCAGTACACACCAAGCACCGACCACACCCCAGCTGAAGGTGGCTCCTTACCCCAAGGCTGGGAGGTCCGCAGTGCTCCCAACGGAAGGCCCTTCTTCATCGATCATAACACAAAGACCACTACCTGGGTGAGAAAGTAGCTCACAAGGCACATTTATGTCTAAGCAGATTCCCACGTAGCCCYTGACAGTTACGTGTAAAGTGGACCTGGTGTTTTTGCCTTTGATTCAGGATGCTTCTTGCTCAGAATGGGAGACTGTGAAGTGAAGATTCAACACAATCAGATTGTTTGTTTTTTACTACAGTGCCCTGACGTGATGTTTGTTGTGACTTGGCACTATATAAATTAACTGAATTGAACTGATTAAATCCATTATTTATGTTCCTCTAAACAGGAAGAYCCCAGGTTTAAGGTTCCTACACATAAGAGGAGGGCAGCCTCGCTSGACCCAGCTGACCTCGGCCCTCTGCCAGTAAGTTCATCTGTCAGAGGAAATGAGTTGGGAAGCAATTTGAAGATGAGGATTAACTGTGGAGATTAGATAAAAATCATTATCAGTAAATCATCTACCATGTTTTTTTTTTTTTGCTCCTAGCCTGGTTGGGAAGAACGGGTCCACACTGACGGGAGAGTATTCTACATAGATCACAGTATGTATACTTAAAAATAAAAATTAAAGCATTGGATTATATATTGGACTCATGCAGTTTTTATTTTATGTTCTTGTTAATGAAGAATCTTGTTTATTTTCCTTCACAGACACCAGGAACACACAGTGGGACGATCCCAGGTTACAGAACTCAGCTATAACTGGACCTGTGAGTGAATACAGTAATATAAAGGCATCGTAAAGTAATAATGGAGGTCTTTTTATGGCTTCAAGAGTTGCTTCAAATAATTATCATCCTCCACAATGTGCGTCAGTGGGTTTGGATGGATTTTCTGTCACATAACAACCAACATGTGTTGATTGCAGGCAGTGCCTTACTCTCGAGATTATAAACAGAAGTATGAATACTTCAGAAAGAAGCTGAAGAAGCCRGTGAGTCTCACTAAGAAGCAAATATGAGTGAGATCGCTCCTTCTGATCGTTCAGATGAACACTTAGTACTGTGTGTCTTTTCTGATGAAGGCCGACATCCCAAACCGCTTTGAGATGAAGCTTAAACGAAGTACGGTGCTGGAGGATTCATACCGACGCATCCTCGCCGTGAAGAGGCCGGACCTGCTGAAGGCTCGGCTGTGGGTGGAGTTTGAGGGAGAGAAAGGACTGGACTATGGGGGTGTGGCCAGGGAGTGGTTCTTCCTCATGTCCAAGGAGATGTTTAACCCGTACTATGGACTGTTTGAGTATTCTGCCACGTGAGTTCAGACTCATTCATTTTAAACTTTTGTATTCTTCTTATGCTACACGTATGYATTATTATTTTTTAAAAGTCAAATATCTAACAAGTACTCTTTGTGTTATTGTATAAAAGACGAGTCAAAAAAGGCTACTAATCGGGATTAAATCAACAGACTCAGGTTTTTAAAGGCATCATTTTATCAGTAAATTTATTAATGCACTAGTAGGCCACATTTAAAGATTTAAATGACACTTTCTGTTTGAGCTGGATTTATTTTTGTTTAACATAAATTAGTGAGATGACATAAGATTATTAGTTAGTGTCTTACTGGTCTGTTTGAAAATTTTACCCTCTACCATTCGGCAATGTCCWGGTCTAAAAGCTGTGATGATGATTAATATTTATTAACAATGTGACCAAATCTGCCCAGCTTCATTTCAGAAGTTTACCTTAAAATAATTAGCACCACCTATAACATAGTTTTGCAAAYTGTGCACACAAAAAAGGRCAATATTTTTAGAAATTAGCTGTTCAAAATGCAGTCAGTTTGCTTATTTGTAAAACATTCAGAATTAATTAAATCTGCAACAGAGAATTTGTCCATTTTCTTGCAGTTTTGAGTCACCACATAGACTCGAACAGTACACTGAGATACCAGATTTTAGATGTTAGTCTGGGAGTTGTTGAGGTTAAGCTTACGATGATGGAGTCATCTGGTCAGGGTTTATGTTTTTTATAGTTTGGATCAACAAATATTCACTGTCAGCTACAGGCAGGTTTCAGGTCTGATGCTGAAACATATTCTCACTCCTGCTCTTCGTTGGATTTTCAGAGACAACTACACGCTGCAGATTAACCCTAACTCAGGTTTATGTAATGAGGACCACTTGTCTTACTTCAAGTTCATCGGTCGTGTTGCTGGCATGGCTGTGTATCACGGAAAACTCCTTGATGGTAAGTCCTACTCAGCTGCACTCAGTTATCAGAACCAAGACTTTTTAATGACTCTTAACTGATACCTTTATTCTATTTCAAGCTTTCTTCATACGGCCTTTCTACAAAATGATGCTGCAGAAGCCGATTGCCCTGCAGGACATGGAGTCTGTTGTGAGTATCACTAGAATTACTGAAGCTCTTTAACTTAAAACTTCAAAAATAATGTTTTAACGTCATTTATTTATGTTTTGTAGGACAGTGAGTATTTCAACTCCCTGAAGTGGATTTTGGAGAATGACCCAGAAGACTTGGACATGATGTTTACCATTGACGAGGAACTGTTTGGAGAGGTAGGCAACTTGCTGAATATGTCATTTGTGACACGTTGCTTCTGTCTGCCTTAAACTACATACTTTTATCATCATCTGTTCAGACCCATCAGCATGACCTGAAGCCTGGTGGATCCGAGATTGTCGTCACCAATGAAAACAAGAAGGAATACATCCAGTAAATAAAACGCTTCACTCAGAAATAACACATTTTTTATCGTCTTAAATGTTCTAAACTGCAGTTTTTAATCTGTTATTTTGTATTTGACAGCCTGGTGATGCAGTGGCGGTTTGTGCACAGAGTACAGAAGCAGATGATGGCCTTCAAAGATGTAATACTTTTATACATTTATATTATCTGTAACAGAAAATGTGGTAGAGCTTTTTGAAAAAAGTTATTGAAAAACTGAAAATCTCGTAAATGTTTGCATTTTAGGGTTTCTTTGAGCTGATACCACAAGATCTGATCAAGATTTTTGATGAGAATGAGCTCGAGGTGAGTTTTCAAATGTGAAGCGATGGAATAAAGATCTTAAAGAGGAAAACTTTCACTCAGTCTTCTGTTTCGTTCCACAGCTGCTCATGTGTGGTCTCGGCGATGTGGACGTGAACGACTGGAGGAAAAACACTAAGTACAAGAACGGCTACACTTCTGAACACAAAGTTATCCTCTGGTTTTGGAAAGTAAGATTGTTTTACATACCTGCTTTGAGAAAATATAAGGCTTTAGTTTCCAAGTTGTCTTAATATTTATTTTGTGTTGTTTAGACTGTGCTGCTGATGGACGCAGAAAAACGAATCCGGCTCTTACAGTTTGTGACGGGAACGTCAAGAGTCCCGATGAACGGCTTTGCTGAGCTCTACGGTGAGATAATTTACTTTATTTTATGCACACATAATTTTTATTCAGGTTACAAGTCAATAATATTGTATTTCTCTGCACTTAAAGCCTGTTGCAACATGTTAAAGCTTAAATGTTTTTATTTTTCAGGGTCTAAYGGACCTCAGCTGTTTACCATCGAGCAGTGGGGTACAAGTGACAAACTTCCCAGAGCCCACACATGGTGAGTGCTTCATTTAGGGTTTGTTTTTTTCAGTAGCATATTTGCATTACTTAAAGGGGTCCTGAAATAAATAAATAAACTGTTCATGTAGTTAATTTTACTGGTTGCCCTCCTTAGACATTTTACTTTAGTCACTGATTTTTTATTTTATTTATTTATTTATTTATTTATTTATTTATTTATTYTTACATCAAGCTAAAGATTTGGTGTGCTGGCAGCTGTAATTTTTTGTAAGATACTAATTTTATCAAAATATCTCATGGAGCGTTGGATGGATTTTAATGAAACTTGCAGAAAGGTATTGTTTGATGTACATCTACACCTGATCAACTTTTGGTGGTGATGTTAACTCAGTTTTATTATTGTTGATCTAATGTTTATGTGGTTGTAGCTTCTAAAACAGCTAGAACTCTGTAAGATGATGTTAGTCTAAAACTCTTGATTTAAATTTTTACTCCACTGTTAGGAAGTCAGCTTTCTTTTGATCAAAGTATTTTTTTTATTATTTTTTAAACATAATCCACAACAAACTAACAAAAACACAAACACCCGAAATCCCACCCCTCCCACCCCTTCCTATACCGGATCTACTGAAACAACAAAAATCGATCTTGTATTAATACAAGTGATATAATAAAAAGGTTTGTGTACAATGAAACAATATTTAACCTTTACACAAAGTTATCTGCCGAAATTTTTTCTACATAAGCTATAAATGGCTGCCAAATGTCAAAAAATTTGTTTACAGATCCCCTAACAGTATATCTAATCTTCTCTAAATGAATGTAAGACATAACTTCTCTTAACCAACGACCAAGGAAGTCAGCTTTCTAATGCAAAAGTCACCAACTTGAAATAAACCTTTTTTTAAAGAAACTCAATTAATGTGAAAATAAGAGCAAAAACTAAACATTTGTCAGGATTCACATTTTTTCTTTATAACATACTTTGTGTGAAATCCCTCTTTTAACTACAACTCCTCCTCCTATGTAACCCTTTATTTATTTCTTTTTTTTTTTTACTTTCTGAAGCTTCAACCGGCTGGATCTTCCACCTTATGAGTCCTTTGAGGAGCTGAAGGAGAAGCTTCACATCGCCATTGAAAATGCACAGGGTTTTGACGGTGTGGATTAGAGCGTACACAGCAAAATGACAGAATTGCTAACAGAATAAAGCCAGGCTGAGTGGCCTGGAGAAGAAACAAAACAAAATAAAGCTTCGGAGCATTGGAGGTGAATCTTAACCTGCCAGCTGACTGATGAAGAAAACATCACTCGACCCTCTCTGCTTCTATGTTGGTGCTCACAAGGAAAGACACCACGTCTAGAGCGACTGGAGTGTTTTTATATCTCTCCATGTTTTTTAAAGTTTACAAATCAGTTTTTTTTCTATTTGATTAAAAAAAGTCACTCAAAGCAGTATGTATAAATCATCTGTTCTGCCAAATGCTTAAATGTGCAAAAAATATTGCAATATATATTCCTTGAGCTGATGCAATGAAAAATACTGTGAAGGAAATTTGAAAGAACTTTAGTTTAATGTGGTCCTCCTCAAGCTCACTCATCTAATACTTATGTCTTTTGTCTTCACAGCACATTAGAGGAGAGAAAGGTTTAAGACCCCAGCCAAAGTCATWAGTAAAGAGTTTTATACTTAGCACTTACTCTTAATGTCATGTATTTGCAAGTTTCAAACAAGGGTTCAGCCACTACCAGCTACAAGCTAACCAATGACAAATAAAAGATGCTAACATTTAGCAATCAGATGCATCTGCTGCTCACAAATTTAATTGGTTTAAATCCCACTCAGGTGTGAAGCTTGACTGCATCTGACTTTTTCTCCTTTTTTTTTTTTTTTACTTTAACTCATGATTTCTGCAAATCTGGGCCAGATTAGAACAAGAATAGCTGGATGCACAACACTCTTTATCTGGTCACTTTAAAAAAAGAAAAWTTTCAGCCCCCATTTCAGAGGTGAGGCTCATTTTGACATTTGGAAATTCTTTGTTTGCCATAACATAATTAAACTGGTGCATCTTTAAACTTTTTTCTGTATTTTATCATTCCTGTGTTTGAAAAAAGCAGACGCAGTGGATAAGATATGGACCTCAAATGCATTTATCACAGAAAATCTACAGGTCTACAAATCTGAGCAGCTTCAGTTAAAATAAATGTTTTATTAATGTAGTGGTGTACCAATAACAGGACCAGCTAAAGACTAAATAAATTTGTCTGTATTTAGTGTAATCTAACACTAAGAGACGCAGTGTTAGAATGTGCTGAAACTCAATGCATACTTGTACATATTAATGTAAGATAGCTGCTTTTTCACTTGCTCAGATATTATGTGGATTTATATTGTACCCGAAAATAAACAAACTACAGATTTATAAATCATTTGTTTATATAAACCTCCTGTGTTGTTCAGTAGCTTCTCAAGTTTAACTTTGTGTACCAGAAAATTTAATAAATGTAAATATGCCTTTTTTTTCCCACCTGGGGTTATAACTTCGCTCAAACATTATCAGACAAGCTGCCTTAAACATTTTGCTAAAAACTTTGCCTTTTGCTGTTTAAATATCAGTTTATCTCCAACTCATTAAGAGTGTCTATATGCTCTATTTTTAAGAGTGAAACTTTTTTTTCTTCTCTAAATATGTACAGATTATTTTTTTTATCAAACTGGGCGATGACTTGTGATACTTTTGTGAGCAACTCAAGTTTTACCACTTTTCTGAAGAGTGAGACGCGTTTACAGTCGCTGCCATGTTTACAGATCTGTGAGGGAAGAAGGTAAACTGGGYCGGTTCTCGTCTCTGATGATGCTCTTTACTACTTATGCTTTTATAAAAAAAACTTTAAAAAAGAAGCACTTTCTTAACGTTAAAGAGTCTTACTTCTAAATTTGTCAGCCTGTCCTGCAGACAGCCTAAACCTCTGTCAGAACGTCATCTTACGCTTCGAGTGCACGTGGGTTTAAATGTTTACATGTGAATCTTGCATAAAATGAGCACATTCTCCTCTTTCCCTTTTTTAATTTAAAACTGAAAGGCCTTTATGTGTAATGTGTTGTAGACTCTTAATTATGACTGTTGTATGTTTGAAGTCCTATTACAGGTTTATTGTATCAGATTTTATGATTGTGACACCTATAAGTGCTTTACAATACAAGATGCAAAAATTAAATCTTTAAATTGTTGATGACCTGTGGATAAAAGCAGACTGAATATAAATATATTTCCAAAATAAACAAATATAAAAACAGGTAATATGATGTCTTCAAATCAATTCTTTTCCAGCTGTTTTCTTTTGTTGCATTTTTGTTAATTTTCATAATAGAAGATGCTGATATTATAAAAAACACTCAATATTCATATCAGTATTTATTGGAGAGGTTGTATATTTGATTATATATGGTACATATTTTTAGGATTAATTGTAATATAATTTAGACTTTAGTATTTTTGTTCATTTGTAAAATGCATTATGTGCAACTCAGATTTGAGGAAATCTATATTAGCAGGTATTAGTATTTGAAGAAGTATTTTTGAACTCTGACTCTTCATCTCTCAAAATAATTTAAAGAAACATCMGATTCTTCTCCACAGTTGTCAGCTGTTTACATGCCAACATTCCAGTTTGTCATCACTTCCTGTTACTTCAAGAGCTTCAAAAACCGTTCAAAAACACCTCAGCAGCATGAAATTAATTATTTTTATTTTATTTATTTTTTGCAATATGCTATCAATGTTATCTTTTCAAAAATGCATTCATATTTATTATGAAAATTAGATGTCTAGGGCACTTTAAGGTTCATCAGTAAAGAAGAATAATAAATTTTTGCTTTGTTTGTTTTATCTGCTAAAATAACCAGTTAAATATATTTAAATAAAGCAAAATTTACAGACGTTTAAGCATTAAAAAGCTTTTTTTTAAATCAGAAAATCTGTGGATGAAAGCTGAAGGAGCCCATGTGAGACTGAATTGTTCCAGCAGGTGATGCTGAAACATTTCAAACCTGAAGTTAATGTTATTAGTAAAGCATTTGTTTTTGTTTCCTGTATTTTTCCMGTTTTGACTGGAGATAAATGAAGCCGGTGTGCAGGCAGCTTTGATTTGTTTAGGGTGTGTTTCAACACTTTAGGTCTGTGAAACACTGTGAGACGAACACATCTATATCACCAAAAATATCATTTTAAAATACAGACACCAATTAAAAACATGCATTTGGTAAAAAGTGAGATTACAGCTGAACCTAAGTAGTGCTTGATAAGGCCTCTGCAGACCTTGAGGAGGCCTAATAATTAAACACTTCAGCTGCTGAACCAGGGCAGCACCTAAAACATGCAGGACTTGAGGACTGACTTTGGTCACCCCTGTCTTAATATGAAACAAGTTAAACATTTTACAAACAAAATGTATTTTTTATTTAATTACATGGGATAAAAATCTCTTCATTTGTATTATTTTTTAATCAACTGAAATAATTGAACATTTAGAAATCAGACTGCTGATCCATTGATGATGCAGAAATTAAGAAACTAATATTCAGTTTTGTTTTCTACTGAAGTGACAAAAAAACAAAGAAATCAGAAGAGAGAAAGTGGTTTGGCTCTGAGCCACTTTTCCACACACGAGGGAGAAAACTGCCAAACGATCTGCTTCACAGATCCTTCCTGTATTTGGATTTACWGACAATGAGAAATACTTTTTCCTTGGATCTGAAGTGAAGTCTGGTTTCATGGTCTTCCTCAGCCATGTGATGAAAAAAAAGTTGTATAAAGTTGTCAAAACTCATGCACATCACAGGCTTTTACAGTTTACATAAACATCTGGCACTGATTGAAGGGAGAAAACAGACRCAGTCATGTTACAGCTCTGTGTGCTGAGTCTGACTGCAAAAATGCTCACAAATCTAATGCTAACAGGACAACCCTTTAGCTGTCTTAACAATTCAGCATGTTAACCTTACAAATGCAAAAATAAATAAAAAAGACAATTCAGAAACTTTAAAATGAGGTTCTGTAGAGTAGTTATTAGTCATCAGTATCATACCTGCAGTAGACAGAAATCAGAATGATCCGAGTCAGACCGAGGCGTATTTAGGAGCTGATTTCAGTCAYAAAAAACTTAAATRTCAACAAATTTATAAAGTTTTAGGCAAACACTGATACAGATTTGTACATTGCACCACTTTAGTTTTAAACAGTTACATGGTTCATTATCTAATAATTTTTACAGGAACTGTATTCCTATGAAAACAACTTTCTGTGTAAATAACCCTGCACCTTCAGGTATATGCTGCTAACACAGGTATCTGATGACAGTCACTCCACAGAAACCCGCTGAAATGGCTCAGTGGTTAGCACCGACGCCCCACATCAAGAAGGTCCTGGGTTCGATCCCTGGTTCGGACCTGGGGTCTTTCTCTGTGGAGTCTGCATGTTCTTTTCGTGATCGCGTGGGTTTTCTCCAGGTACTCCGCTTTCCCCCACCCCCCCAAAACATGCACAATAGGTTGCCTTCAGGCCCAGTCCACCCTTGAAAAAGAGATCTGAGATCTCAGTGGGACTTGCCTGGTTAAAGAACGGTGAATAAATAATAAATAAATGAAATAAATCATCACTTTAAAGTTAAAGTACGTCTTCATTGAGCAGCTGTTACTGAGGTATCTGGAAATGAAAGTGGAAGATGAGTAAAGGTT